TCCTCATTGTGCAACGCTGGGACATGGCTGGTTAGAGTTTTTGCCTTTGCCCAACAGCAGTTTATTCAGAAGAAGAAGAAGAAAAACAACCCTGTGTTTTAAAAGCGCTTAGTACAAATTGTTCTGGCTTTGGATGGTGTTTCAATCTGATAGCTTTTATTTGTGAAGCTTTAAGCGTACTCTTTCCCATCATCCCAGCAGGTGTATGGAACCTGTTTCAAACTGGGGTTTGAACTTGAAAGGCAGGATTTTGGCAAGCCATCATCATGCTCAAGAAAAGGAAAGCAGTTTGGTCTAGTGTAGTGGTTCTCAACCTTTTTAATGCCGCGACCCCCAACCGGTCGTAAGTCGAGGACTACTCAGCCAGTCATAGGTCGAGGACTACTCAACTGATGCAGCACCGTTTGCAGAATGGGACTTTTGGCGGGCTCAGCAGGGCAGAGACAGCCTGGACAATTCCTATTGGCTTTTGAAAGCCAATAGAATTAGACTCTATTCAAGAGAGTCTATTCTATTGGCTTTCAAAAGCCAATAGAATAAAAGGGAGCAGCACAGCTAAGGAAAAGGGGGGGGAAATGGTGGACTGCATTGTTTGGCGACCCCCGTGAAATGATCGTTTGACCCCAAATGGGGTCCCGACCCACAGGTTGAGAACCACTGGTCTAGTGGTTAAGGCACCAGGTTAGGAGAATGGGACTTCTAGTTCTGTGTTAGGCATCAGAGCTGCGTCGATGTCTTTGGACCAATCACTAGGAGATGATGTGTTCTAATCCCGCCTTAGGTGTGAAAGCCAATAGTAAGTTACTCCTCCCTGGTTCTGGAAAGTTCTTTGACCTCTCATCCTAGATAACATCTGAAATCTGCTTGTGGAGATTCTGAGTCATCCAGATCAGGGTTGTCCCAAAGGTGCTTTTTCAAAAGGCAACTGGACTTCCTTCATTTTCCCTTGAAGACGTTTCGCTTCTCATCCAAGAAGCCTCTTCAGTTCTTCAAGGGAAAATGAAGGGAGTCCACTTGCCTTTTGAAAAAGCACCTTTGGGACACCTGAAGATATTATCTACTTGGGTAATGAAATGTCTGCAAGAAAACCCAAGCTCAGAGAGTACCAAGAACCCCACAGTTCAACTCTGAGCTACAAATAATAATAATAATAATAAAATAATTTGTCAATGCCAATGGTGTTCAAGTAGTGCTCCAGTTGTCTTGGGTGCAATCCCAAAACAACTGGAGCACCACTTGAACACCACTGGCATTGACAAATTCGCTATTAGTCAATTGCAAAAGGCGGCCTTACTAGGAACTGCTTCCATCCTGCGGCGATACCTGTAATACCATCAAACATCCACATCTGCCTATCCCAGGTCCTGGGTAAGGACTCTATAGGTAGACAAAATGCCAAATCCAGTCTGAACATCTGGATGACTGTGCGATGATCAATAATAATAATAACAACAACAACAACAACAACAACACTTGAACACCATTGGCACTGACAAATTTGCTATTAGTCAATTGCAAAAGGCGGCCTTACTAGGAACTGCTTCCATCCTGCGACGATACCTGTAATACCATCAAACATCCACATCTGCCTATCCCAGGTCCTGGGTAAGGACTCGATAGGTAGACAAAATGCCAAATCCAGTCTGAACATCTGGCTGACTGTGCGATGATCCATAATAATAATAATAATAATAATAATAATTGGAAGGTCATCTAGTCCAACCCCCTGCTATACCATTTCGGACAAATGGCTGTCCAGTTTCTTCTTAAAAACTTCCAGTGTTGGAGCATTCACCCCTTCTGGAGGCAGGTTGTTCCACTGGTTAATTGTTCTCACTGTCAGGAAGTTTCTCCTTAGTTCTAGGTTGCTTCTCTCTTTAATTAGTTTCCATCCATTGCTTCTTGTCCTGTCTTCAGGTGCTTTGGAGAATAGCTTGACTCCCTCTTCTTTGGGGCAGCCCCTGAGATATTGGAACACTGCTAGTTACCTAGCTAGGTAATGAAACATCACAAGAAAATAACCCAAGCTGTCAGAGCTAAACTCAAGAAGGACACATGGCAATTCTTTCCAGCTAAGTTCCTTATTGGTGTTTCACACCTACAGACAAATCTAACCAGACTCTGCCTCTACTACACCAGGGGTCCTCAACCTTAGCAACTTTAAGACTTGTGGACTTCAACTCCCAGAATTCCGCAGCCAGCTTTGCTGGCTGCAGAATTCTGGGAGTTGGAAGTCCACAAGTCTTAAAGTTGCCAAGGTTGAGGACCCCTGATCTACACTGTACTTTATGAACTATGAGGGAGAGGCTGTCTTCACCCTCTTTCTCTCATATGTAATGTTCAGACTGAATTGTCTCTTATTCCTTTGGAAGGCAGCCTCTCCATCCTGGGAATTCATCTCCTTAACTATATTTCATCAAACAAGCTCAGAGAGCAACAATAAATTCGCAGCTTAGCCCGAGCTACAAATATTCTCTTTTCTTGGTGTCTCTTGTAAGCCATAAGAACAGCAGGTTCTCCTTTAAGGAGAGAACTTGGTGGACACATCCATGCAGAGGTTTTTGTTGTTGTTTTTTTGCAATGATACAGAATTGGTCATCTTTTGGGATGACTTTCAACTTTCCAAGTTAGCTTCCAATCATGGAATCACGTAATAGTCTCCTCTCCAAGTCCTAATCCAGTTTACCTAATCCAGTTTTGGTCACCATGATGTAAAAAAGATGTTGAGACTCTAGAAGGAGTACAGAGAAGAACAATAAAGATGATTAGAGGTCTGGAGGATAAAACATATAAGAAACAGTTGCTGGAATTGGGTAGGTTTAGTTTAATGAAGAGAAGGACGAGGGGGGATATTATAGCCGTGTTCCAGTATCTCAGGGGCTGCCCCAAAGAAGAGGGAGTCAAGCTGTTCTCCAAAGCGTCTGAAGGCAGGACAAGAAGCAACGGATGGAAACTAAGCAAGGAGAGAAGCAACCTGGCATTAAGGAGGAATTTCCTGACAGTGAGAACAATTAATCAGTGGAATGACTTGCCTCCAGAAGCGGTGAATGCTCCAACACTGGAAGTTTTTAAGAAGAGACTGGACAGCCATTTGTCTGAAATGGTATAGGGTTTCCTGCCTGAGCAGGGGGTTGGACTAGATGACCTCCAAGGTCCCTTCCAACATCCTCATCATCATCAACAACAACATCATCATCATCATTATTATTACCTACTGAGCCTAGATAATTTAAGCTTGGGACTGCTGAAACATTTGAGAAATGTCTTCTTTTTGTTACGGAACAAAGTTGTTTACATGGAGCCACCCTCCCACTCCCACCCCAAGTGAGATGTTGGATTGTGCCCAGTTCTAAATTGGATCCAGTGACATGGATTAGCTCTTCCTGTTTAACCTGAGCGGTGAGGAATCCTGCAGAGGTCTCTCATCCTCCCACAACAGCTTTCTGGGTACCAACTGTATAAGCTCTGTGGTCAAGACGTTTAATTTTTTGACTGATTAAACGCCAAGAGGAGAACTTCAGACAGCCTGTTTCAGTGATGGAGTGATGTTCTTTGCATGTGAACCACAACATTCAGCTCATAGGCAAGTTGGTCAAGGCAGACAAAGCAAGTTTGTTTGGTTGTCACAAAGGTGCTTTTTCAAAAGGCAACTGGGCTTTGTTTTCCCTTGAAGAGGCTTCACTTCTCATCCAAGAAGCTTCTTCAATTCTGTTCTTCCAGAACTGAAGAAACTTCTTGGATGAGAAGTGAAATGTCTTCAATGAAAAATAAAGTCAGTTGCCTTTTGAAAAAAGCACCTGTGGGACAGCCATGATCTGGATGATTGAGAATCTCCATAGAAAATTGCCTGGTTCTTTCCCCTTTGACATATCCCTGCTCTTGGACGTAGTAGTAGTAGTAGTAGTAGTAGTAGTAGTAGTAGTAGTAGTAGTAGTAGTAAAGTTGGAAGGGACCTTGGAGGTCATCTAGTCCAACCCCCTGCTCAGGCAGGAAACCCTATACCATTTCGGACAAATGGCTGTCCAGTCTCTTCTGAAAAACTTCCAGTGTTGGAGCATTCACTGCTTTCTGGAGGCAGATTGTTCCATTGGTTAATTGTTCTAACTGTCAGGAAGTTTCCCCTTAGTTCTAGGTTGCTTCTCTCCTTGATGAGTTTCCATCCAGTTTCCAGGCACGCTGGCTGAGGAATTCTGGGAGTTGAAGTCCACAAGTCATAAAAGGGCCAAGTTTGAAGACCCCCTGCCCTAAGGTGTTAGCCAGTTCTTATGTTACAAACCTACAAATGTAGGCTAAGCAACACCATCCACAAAAGAACAGTTCCTAAAGTCAAGAGGATGATCACAGCTGCCCAACTAGAAGATGATCGTGTGATTGTGACCAACATTTTTGGCTGTTTTGACCCCATCCCTGGAGGACACCTTGGTGTTAACCCCTCTCTCTTCCAACTTGTATCTTGATTGTGACCTGCCATTGTTCTCCAGCCTGTAATAAATAAACCAAACTTTACAAATTATTGAAACTTGGTCATTAGTTCCCCTGTCTGCTGCTTTGCTGTCAGGAAGCTTAAACCAATCTTTTCCTTTCCATAATTTACTCCACCTCTGCATTCTGAGCAAGTTATTAAATTAATAAGTTTATAATATTCATTGAATGCTTCAAGCATCTATTGAGGTAAATAGAGCATTACTAATAAACAGTATTGTTGGTTGAATCTGAATGTCTGCAGAGCACAATTGTTAACAAAAAAAAAAAAAAAACCTTCCGGGATATGATATATATGTCTGTGAGTTAAATCAGATGAAGAAGCATCCAGAGGGGAAGGAAATACAGCTTGTTGGTCTGTGTGACTCACAATGCTCTATTAAAATCATTCCTAATTTCATTTCAGAACAATACATGTCGAGAATTTTGTTTTTCAATTTAATGACCTTTCTCTCCTCTTCCTTCTCTCCTTTTTCTTTTTTTTTCTTTTCTTTCTTTCTTTTTTCTTTTTTTTGCAGAACGGCTGGGAGAGGAAATATATTGAAAATCTCTACTTGAGATTCGTAAGTGCTCCACATCGTATGAGAAAGACACATTCCCTAGGTGGGATGCCAAGAAACATGGTGTCAGACTTCTCAGGGATGGGATATAAAATTCCTTCTGAGGTCCAGTTTGGAAACTTTGAAAAAACACATCGTCTTGAAAGTGGGAAAAGTTGCCCAGGTCGAAAATGCCCATCTTTGGTAAGTGTCTGAAGTTTCCATCCGTTGCTTCTTGCCCTGCTTTCAGGCGCTTTGGAGAATAGCTTGACTCCCTCTTCTTTGGGGCAGCCCCTGAGATATTGGAACACTGAATGAATGAATGAACGACCGAACGAACGAATGAGTCTTCTCCCAATCTGAAGGCCACCTGGTCAGGTTTTCCACACGATGGGAAAAGTGCTCCTTCTTGGGAGCAGCGAGATAGCTCAAATGGAGAGAACACTCCGCTCCTTGAACTACAGAAAGAGTGTGCAACAGCCTCAAAACCCTGTTTTCTGCCCCCAAAAACTTTGGATGCATTCTCAAAGCCCATCTAAAGGTTGACGCTGAACTGCAATTCAGTCATCGGACTAAAGCAGTGGTTCTCAACCTGTGGGTCGGGACCCCATTTGGGGTCGAACGACCGTTTCATAGGGGTCGTCAAACAACGCAGCCCACCATTTTTTCCCCCTTTTCCTTAGCTGTGCTACTCCCTTTTATTCTATTGGCTTTTGAAAGCCAATAGAATAGAGTCTCTTGAATAGAGTCTAATTCTATTGGCTTTCAAAAGCCAATAGGAATTATCCCGGCTGTCTCTGCCCTGCTGAGCCCGCCAAAAGTCCCATTCTGCAAACGGTGCTGCACCAGTTGAGTAGTCCTCGACTTACGACCGGTTGAGTAGTCCTCGGCTTATGACCGGTTGGGGGTCGCGGCATTAAAAAGGTTGAGAACCACTGGACTAAAGGATCAAACTGTTGCAACATGAGCCATAATGCAAAAAGCAGCACAACCTGTCCCTAGCAAAGATGACATGGCTGGAGCATCTTTGGCGTAATGTCAGATTCCAGAAGGTGGAAAGGGCCTTCTACGAGAGGAATTCCGGAGGCACAGAAGCCATCCTTGTGACTCAATGTGGGGAGAAGCTGGGTTCCCTGGAGGAGTAAGAGGCAACTCAGCCCAGATATCCTTTGTGTGTGTGAGAGAGAGAGAGGGTGAAGACAGCTCCTCCCTATTAGTTCCCAGAGTACAGGTAGTCCGCGACTTAACAACCACAATTGAGCCCAAAGTTTCTTGCTAAGGGAGACAGTTGTTAAGTGAGCTTGCCCCCATTTTACGACCTTTCTTGTCACAGTGGTTAAGTGAATCCTTGCAACTGTTAAGTTATTAACACGGTTGTTAAGTGTGACTCTGGCTTCCCTGGTCAGAACTTCACAAAAGATCATCCGCATGACCCCGGGACACTGTAACTGTCATAAATACGACTCAGTTGCCAAACGTCTGAATTTTAATCGCATGACCGTGAGGAGGCTGCAACAGTTGTAAGAGTGACAAATGATCATAAGTCACTTTTTTCAGTGCCGTTGTAATTTCAAATGGACGTTAACAAACCGTTTTAAGTTGAGGGACGGCCTGTATACGCTTGATGTATATAATAAGCTGCTTCAGTTTGGCAAGAGTCTGTCTGTAGGTGTGAAACAATAAGGACCTCAGCTCGGAAGAATCTCAATATGTCATTGTTGGCTTGGGGGCGTGTAGGCCCCGGAGCATCTGAGCAAAAAACGTTTGACGTCAAAGCGGAGCTGATTCTCTGTCTGTGCATTTAATTATTAGCTTAGTTGCATCTTCATGCCTGTTTCATCCTGAAGTGTGTGCCCAGAAGGGTGAGGATATTGCTTTGAGCTACACAAATTGCTCCATTCTTATATCATCCGGCTTCCTTACTCGCTTGATGGTGTCTAATTTACTCTTCGCCTTTTGTTGTTTCGGATGACTGCGTTAATTGACATAAGGAGGGCTGAGTGATGCTTCTGCTTGTCTAATAAGCATGTGAGCGCTGAACACCCAAGCTGGCTGTGGATGCTTTGGGCTGCAGACAGATGGGCGGGGGGGGGGCGGGTTGGGTGATCAAGAACGAGCACGTCTTTGGATTAAGATATGGTGGAATATTCAGAGAATCTTTAGAAAGAGGGTAAAATTTACTCCACAATTATTTTTGTTAGGTATAGTTACTGATTGCGATGCAAAGGAGGTTATATTGATGTTGAATCTGATCACAGCCGCAAGGTTGTTAGTAGGACAATACTGGAAGAAGGAATCTTTGCCTACCTTGCAGGAGTGGTTTTTTAAAGTATCTTACTTGGCGGAAATGGCAAAGATTTCGGCTTTCTTAAAAGAACAATCGCAAGAGAAATTTTTTGCTGTTTGGGACAAATGGATAAAGTTTATACAATTTAAATTGGATATAAAAAACATTATTTAGCTTTTTTATAATTTTTATTTATATATATATATATATATATATATATTCTATTGTTAATTTTTCTTTTTTCTTTTTTTTTCTTTTTATACAATTTTTTTTAACTTTTTTAATTAAGCCTATATTCTGCTCTGGGAAGCTCCGGGGGGGGGAGGGTGTGGGTGGTTTGGGGAGGGTTGGGGGAGGCTTGTTTTGTTTTGTTTAATCTTGTTCTTTTTTGTCGTTGTATTGTTGTTTTCTGTTTTTTGTAAAAACTTTTTAAAATTTTTCAATAAAAAAAAAAAGAACGAGCACGTCATTTTGTTCTCCGTGCTACAAGCCAGATTTCAAAGCTGAACAGTCTGATTGGCAGCAGTCCAGGGGGGGCATCACTGTTTCCCCATGGTTATTTCCCCCTGATCATTTCTCCTCCACATTTTGCCTGGAGAGAGTAAATTGTGTGGAGATACTTGTCCATTCATCTGGAAAACGGGGGGTTCTAGACTAAGGGTATTGTCCCCTTCCTTTATAAAATGGGTGGTTTTTGCGCTGTGAGCATCGTCTGCTTTCTTCTGTAAAACAAGTGTCATTTAGATTTTCGGAATCTGACCCTTGGATATCATAAACAGGTGTGTCTGTGGGCAGTCTGTTCCTGCTCCTTTGTTCAAAATAGGGCTGGTTCTAGGCTGAGGATAATGTCCCCATTCCTCTATAAAATGGGTGGTTCTAGGCTGTGAACATCGTCTGCGTTCTCTAAAACAAGCGTCATTTAGACTTTCTGCATCTGCTCCTTCCATCTTGTAAACAGGTCTGGTTCTGGGCAGTCTGTACTTGCCCCTTCATCCAAAATAAGGGTGGTTCTAGGTTCAGGATGTCCCCATTTCTCTATAAAATGGGTGGTTCTAGGTTGTGAGTGTCATCTGCAACTCTTCTGAAAAACAAATGTCATTTAGACTCTATAGATCTGCCCCTTCGTCCAAAACAGGAGTGGTTCTGGACTGCCACTCTCTCAAATGGGTGGTTCTAGGTCATCCTTATTCTTCTGCCAAACAGGAGGTGGTTCTAAGCTGTCTTCACCTGCCTCTTCTTCTTGCAACATTCTTAAAATTGCTTTCAAGTCTTTGCTTGGTTTCTATTGGGATGTGTTGCTTATTTCTGGGTGCTTTGTCTCAACTCCCTACAGCCTAACGAAAGCTGTCTCCTGCCAAGACAAAAAAGCTGGTTCACCCAGTCTTGTAATTCTATAATTAAGTTGCTCTTTTTCAATGTTGTGTTTGGATAAATTGAGTTAAGGGCTTTATTTGTGTGAGTTCTAAGGCAGGGTGGAAACAATATAATTGTACACAGCACTTAGCAAGTTGCTGTGGTGTACTGTTTCAGCAGCAATTAAGAGATTTCTGGTGATAAATTGTCCCAGCAATTTGACTGAGACAGGTGAGAGATCAAACTGTTTTTTCAAAGTCTGGACACCTTCCCAATATGTGCTCTTCTGATTTCAAAATGTTTAGAATGGCCATGATGGTGGGGGATTTCTGGGAATTGAAGTTTTAGAGACTAGCTAGTTTGGGAAAAACCAGAATTATCTAACAGAGTAGGCCAGTGATGGTGAACCTTTTAGAGACCGAGTGCCAAAAGTGCAACCCAAAACCTACTTATGCATCGGCGGGTGTTGGATGGGTGTGGCCCATTGGGTGGGTGTGGCCCATTGGGTGTGCGTGGCTGCGGTAGTAATAGCAGACTGGGTGAGATGAAAAAGCTCAATCAATTCCAACTTTGCAAGATCTTTTTTTTCCCGTGAGAAGTTGAAATTGACTGATTGATTGAACCTTTTTTTTTTTTTGTACACGGCGGCGGAGGCCTAAAGCGAAAAGGTTTTATAAAACCCAGCTGAAGGCCTAGGACTGGGGCAATGGTGCGCGTGCCCACAGAGAGGGCTCTGAGTGCCGCCTCTAGCACCCGTACCATAGGTTCGCTACCACTGGAGCAGGCCATTTCAGACAAATGGCTGTCCAGTCTCTTCTTAAAAACTTCCAGTGTTGGAGCATTCACAACTTCTGGAGGCAGGTTGTTCCACTGGTTAATTGTTCTCACTGTCAGGAAGTTTCTCCTTAGTTCTAGGTTGCTTCTCTCTTTGGTTAGTTTCCAACCATTGTTTCTTGTCTTGCCTTCAGGCACTTTGAAGAATAACTTGACTCCCTCTTCTTTGGGGCAGCCCCTGAGATATTGGAACATGGCTATCATGTCACTCCTCGTCCTTCTCGTTAAGCTGGACATACCCAATTCCAGCAACCGTTCCTCATATGTTTTAGCCTCCAATCCCCTAATCATCTTTGTTGCTTTTCTCTGTACTCTTTTTGAGTCTCAACATCTTTTTCACATCGTGGTGACCAAAACCGGATGCAGTATTCCGAGTGTGGCCTTACTAAGGCATTGTAAAGTGATAGTAATACTTCACATGATCTTGATTCTATCCCTCTGTTAATGCAGCCTAGAACTGCATTGGCTTTTTTGGCAGCTGCAGCACACGGCTGGCTCATATTTAAGCGATTGTGCACTAGGACTCCAAGTTCCCTCTCACAGTTATTACTATTATATGGTTTCCTTCTGGGTGTAATATAGCATATGGGTGTTTAACATTTGCATGTGGTTCAGTTCTTGTCCTTACCAGCTTTTTTATTGTATTATTTTGGTGATTTCTGATTTCTGGTTCAAAATTGTGGCTTTGTTAAGAATGATTTGAAAATCATTGGAAAAAGTGTACCTTCTCAGATATATATAATATTGACTGGAAAAGTGCTGTATAGAGGCAGCCCTTGACTTAACGACCACAAATGAGCCCCAAAAGTTCTGTTGCTCAGTGAAACATTGGTTACGTGAATTTTGCCCCTTTTTACGACCTGTCCTGCCACGGTTGTTAAGTGAATCACTGCACTGGGTAAGTTAGTAACCCAGTCGTTAAGTGAACCTGGCTTCCCCCATTGACTTTGCTCGTCAGGAGGTCGGAAAAGGCGACGATCACCTGACCCCGAGACATAGCAACCGTCCTAAATGCGAGTCAGTTGCCGAGCCTCCGACTTTTGATCCCGTGACCCTGGGGACACTGCAACGGTCGTAAGCATGAAAAGCGGTCCTGAGTCACTTTTTCCGGTGCCCTGGTAACCTTGATAGGTCACTAAACGAACTGTTGTAAGTCGAGGACTTCTTGTGCTTTCTCGTATTCGAAACCCTGAGTTTGTTTGCCTTTGCGGTTAAATCTTAGGATGAAGACGAACGGTTGAGAGATCTCACGCACGAAGAAAAGGATGTCCTGCTTTTTTTCGAGGAAACGATTGGTTCCTTGGACGATGAGGAGGAGGAGAAGGAGGAGGAAGAACAAGCCTTGCATGACAGCGGCGTCTTCTGCCGTTCCCCAAAGCTGGTGGAAGAAGACACCCCTGACCATTCAGGATCGGAAGGGCTCATAGACTTGGTCCCGTCAGCCCCAAGAGAGAACAGGGCAGAACCAGGTAAAGTGGAATTCTATGCACAGGTATGAATTTGTGTTTTGGGAACTAAACAGGTTGTCTTCCAAGGATTTAGGTTGCCCAGTTGGGGGTTTTTTGAACTGGGTTGTTTTCTTGCAGACGTCTCATTACTCAAACTATTAAGCGCTATTAAGTGTTCATCAAACCCTACTCGAGTGGTTCTCAACCTGTGGGTCGGGACCCCATTTGGGGTCGAACAACCATTTCACGGGGGTCGCCAAACAACGCAGTCCGCCATTTTTTTCCCCCTTTTCCTTAGCTGTGCTACTCCCTTTTATTCTATTGGCTTTTGAAAGCCAATAAAATAGACTCTCTTGAACAGAGTCTAATTCTATTGGCTTTCAAAAGCCAATAGGAATTGTCCAGGCTGTCTCTGCCCTGCTGAGTCTGCCAAAAGTCCCATTCTGCAAACGGTGCTGCACCAGTTGAGTAGTCCTCGACTTACGACCGGTTGAGTAGTCCTCAACTTACGACCGGTTGAGTAGTCCTCGACTTACGACCGGTTGGTGGTCGCGACATTAAAAAGGTTGAGAACCACTGTCTTAGATGGTCCTTTGATCTTCCTACTCCGGCATGCAGTCTACTTAGTAATTTCCGTACAGGCCAGGGTTGTTCTTGACCAGGCAGCATACAGCCTTGTGTTTGTGCCCAGTTACCCAATAGTTCAGTGATCTTCATGGTGAGCGTTGATAATTTGTCCTTTTTGTGGCATTCTGGGCATGGGAATCTAGGAGAGTAAGAACGCAAATGAAAACATTTGTATCTTGAGATCATAGCACTGTGGTGGCAAACCTATGGCACGGGTGCCAGAGGCGGCACTCAGAGCCCTGTCTGTGGGCACGCGCGCTGTCGCCCCAGTCCTAGGCCTTCAGCTGGGTTTTATAAAACCTTTTCGCTTTAGGCCTCCACCGCCATGTGCCAAAAAAAAAAAAAGTTCAATCAATCAATTTCAACTTCTTGCAGGAAAAAAAAAAAAGATCTCGCAAAGTTGGAATTGATTGATTGAACTTTTTAGTCCCACCGTTACTACTGCAGCCATGCTCACCCAATGGGCCACGTTCACCCGGCACCCGATGATACATAAGTGGATTTTGGGTTGCAGTTTGGGCACTCTGTCTCTAAAAGGTTCGCCATCACTGTCATAGCATAAAAGGCCCAACTTACATCCTTGCGTTGGATACCACCATGCAGCTTCATAAGCGAAGCTTTTATATTATAAATCAGGGATCTCCAAACTTGGCCACTACCAGAATTCAACTCTCACCCAGAACCCATGCTGGCCAAGGAATTCTGGGAGTTGAAGTCCACAAGTCTTAGAATTGCCAGTTTGGAGACCACTAACTCACGACCCAAGTATCATTCTTTTGACATTGCTGTGCTTGTCATGAATACTCCTAATGCTGGGGTGCATTTCCCAAAGCAGATCAGGCTAAGCCAACATTTTCTTTGCTTGAGTTTGAAACTTAATTTAAAAGTATGTGGAGCAAGTTTGACCGTTTCTTATTCATTTCATTCCTCTATATTGCTATATTAATCATTGCAGTCTGGAAACAACATCTGGAGATGTTATGGGAGCTTCAAGGAAGGACTTGTAGGACTGATCTCTGTGATCTCCAATTGTTTATTTTTTTATCTATTTTATTTGCCACAGATAATCCTGTCATAAAGTTAAATAAATCTGGGCGCACAAACTTCGGATAGCCTTAATACATGACACCCCATTCTTCTATTTCCAAAAATTAATTTAAGGATCTCATTTTTCTGAAAAGGATGTAGAACCAGATTGAGTCAAATCATGGATTTTTTTTTTAAAAAGCTAGGAAATATTTTAGGATGGATTCTAGGGTGGTCTTCATCTGCTGTTGATAAGACAGGGCACATCTCTCTTCTTTTGCAAGTACACTAGACCAGTGGTTCTCAACCTGTGGGTCGGGACCCCATTTGGGGTCGAACGACCATTTCACAGGGGTCGCCAAACAAGGCTGTCCGCCATTTTTCCCCCCTTTTCTTTGGCCACTCCCCTGGCACTCGGTGATGTATAAGTGGTTGGGGGTCACCAAAACATGGGGAACTGTATTATGGGGTCACGGCATTAGAAAGGTTGAGAACCACTGCACTAGACCATTCCATAAAGGTGCTTTTCCAAAAGTCAACTGGACTTTTGGGGGGGGGGGATTCCTTGAAAACATTTCACTTCTCACCCAAGAAGCTTCTTCAGTTTTGACTCCAAGAGGAAGCTTCGTGGATGAGAAGCAAGTCTAGATGACTTCTGGAAAAACACTTTTGGATCAACCATGACCTGGATGATTGAGAATCTCCGTAGACATGTAGACCATTCCACATAACCTCTAAAACAGATCTAATAAGTTCTTTTCTTCTTCTTTTTTTCTTCCTAGCATCAGAGGAAACTTGGAAACTGGATGAGCCAAAGCTGGAGGATGCTGAACCATCAGAGGAAGACGTCCATGTTAATCCAGTTTCTCTTCAGCCAACACTGCCTTCAGCACCCCCATTGCCAATCTGTGAGATATGTCCTGTTCAACCTGCTGTACTTCATCCAAAGCTCCTTCTCTCCATCCCCACACCACTTCTGATGGCCGAGAAATTGTCTGAGCAACTGGCGGAAGGCAGTTCTTCCTCGCTTCCTTCTCCAAAGAAAAGGAACCCCAGCGAGAGGAGGACCATCCCCGCTTCCACCACCCTCTGCAGTAGGGAGCAGGTCAAGCCTTGTGCCCCACCTCCAACTGCTCCCAAACCCCAGAGATTCCCGAGCAACATCAGCTTCACCAACACCAGCGAGCGGGAATTCAGCAGAATCATCTCCAAGGCGGCCGTCAACGTTCAAGAGCGCAAGGCTCAAGTGTTGGCCAACGTCAACGCTTCAGCCTTGCTAATAAATGAGTTGGAGGAAAGACTGCAGAAGCGTGGGCTCCTGGCTCCCAGCCAAAGCTCGCCCTTAGGAGATTTACCTTCTGAGTCTGCAGGCGACGAACCCTTAAGTAGTTTAACGCTCATTGAGAAGACTCTTGCTCGGGCCCACCTTATCCACCCTATCAACGTCCCCTCCACAAAGGACGGGAGACCTGGAGAAGGATACGGCCCCTCAAATGGCTATCAAAACATCCATGAAATTATGAAAAGGGATCCTGATCTGTTACCCACCCTGAACAAAACAATGACTTTCAAGCCGGAGGATGACCTTGTGGATGGCAAGTCTGCTCAGCCAAGTATTTCTGGAGAACCCCAACAAGATCTCATCCTTGACTTACAGAGAAGGTTGAGCTTATTGCCCAAGCCTGCAGGACTTCATTCAAAGGGTATCACGGTACAATTTTCTGGACGTGGATCAACAGAAGAAGCCCGGAGGGAGGCTCTACGAAAACTGGGACTTCTGAAAGAATAATGGAATGGGAGTGACATCTAAAGAACATGATGTGCCCGAAGACAGATTCCCAATGAAATCCATTCTTTATTTACCGTGCAGGCTAAGGAAATATTAAGTGATGGAACTCCACAGTTCTCTGCTGGCGTTGGGGGTGGAGGTCTTTGACGTGAACTCACAGTGCTTCTCGAAGACTTTGAGGCAGTTCATAAAAGCCCTCGTGAAAGTGAGAGTGTCAGGCTAAATGAAGGTCAATGGGCAGTTTGTGGGTGAGCCGTGTATGTGGGTCACTGGCAAAGCACATCAGAATCGCTCGGATAAAACCGAGAAAGTCCCAAGAGGCCCAAAGAAGCTTCTTGGATGAGAAGCGAAACGTCATCAAAGAAAAACAAGACAGTCCAGTTGCGTCTTTGGGTCCCAAGAGGACTGCATTAAGGAATTCTGTAAGGATAAATGTATATATTCACACCTATTGGACAACTCAAACTTGTAATAAACTTGCTATCTCTTGATTGTCACATAAGTATTTAATACCGCACTGCAGATCGTTCCTTTTGCAAAAGTGACTGGGTTACTTTTTCAGGATGGTTGATAACCCGAAATGTATCGGATCTTCTGGATTGTACAAAAGGTCCTATTGCTGTTGAAAATCAGTTGTATAAAAATGAGGGGGGACCCCTCAATATGTCATAAGTGTGGGTTGCACTGTTCTGACCTTCAAGGCATCATGTTGAAGCATATGTTGACCTGCTCTTTCCTCTACCATCTCTAATACAGAACACGCTACCTGTATGAAGGTAGCATATCCCAACCAGGCTGCCTTCCAGATGCCTTGGGAGCTGAAATCCACACATCTGGAGGGTGTCCCGATGTAGGCTCACATAAGCCCCTAGAACTGTACACGACCACCTACCGAAGAGCGAAGGAGTTAATGAAACAAATAGCTGATACAGGTAATCTTCGACTTACAACATTTAGTGACCGTTCGAAGTTACATCGGTACTGAAAAAAGTGACTTATGACCGTTTTTTCACAATTACGACCACCGTAGCATCCCTATATTCACGGGTCAAAATTTGGATGCTTGGCAACTGACTCGTATTTATGACGGTTGCAGTGTCCCTGTGTCATGTGATCCCCTTTTGTGACCTGACAAGCAAAGTCAATGGGGAAGTCAGAGTCACTTAAACAATTGTGTTACTAACTTAACAACTGCAGTGATTTACTTTAACAACTGTGGCAAGCACGGTCACGAAATGGGGCAGAATTCAGTTAACAACTGTCTCACTTAGCAAAAGAAAATGGTTGCAAGTCTGAGGACTACCTGTACTCACTCCAAGGAGTACGCAAGAGTACTCCAACTTACAGCCGGAGGTGTACAGGTCATCCTGTCTTACTTCCAGTCCCTGAAGATTGTTTTAACCAAGCCTTGCACAATTCTGCTGCAGGGAAGTTCTGCAAAAGCAGAGAAGATGCTATTAGATTTCGGCTACATTAACTGGGCGGTGCTTTTTTGTTCTTCGTAGCTCAGATTTATATTATGTGCCAGCCCTGCCTCTGATTTGCGCTTCCAAGTAAGACGATCCTTGGCTTCGTTTGTTGCAAAAGGTACCGTTTTACGAGAAGTCAAGTGAACTGCAGAACAGGAAGTCCCAGATTTATGGCCACAATTGAGCCCAACATTTCTGTTGTTAAGTGAGACATCTGTTAAGAGATTTTTGCCCCATTTTACCGCCTTTCTTTTTTTTATATTAAAAAGTTTTATAAAAATTACAATATAACCCCCCCAACCCCCCCTCTCTCCCCAGCTTCCCAGAGCTGAGTACAGGGTTACAAATACGATAATCATAATCTAACTAACATTAACCAACTATATAAATAACCAAGTCCATAATGCACTTTAACTCCCCTTTGACATAAATATAAACAAATTGAAAATAAACATAATAATAATGAAAACAGAAACAAGTTAATATCCTAATTATTAAACAATACAATCTCCAAATTGTTAAACAATACTAATACTAAAAATAATAATAATAATAATACTCTAAAATACGCCTTTCTTGTTAAGTGAATCGCTGCAGCTGATAAGTTCGTAACCCGGTTGTTAAGCGAAATCTTGATTTCTCGTTGACATTTTCCCGAAGGTCGCAAAAAGAGGATCACGTGACTCCAGGACACTGTGACTGTCATAAATACGAACCGGTTGTCCAGCATCTGCATTTCGATCACATCATGCTAAGGATGCTGCAAAGGCCGCAGCTGTGAAAAGAACGGGCATAGGTCACGTTTTCCAGGACTGTGGTAACTTTGAACGGTCACTAAAGGAACGGTTGTTAAGTCGGGAACTATGTATAAAAGAAAGCCAGAACTGAAATTCGTGTTCCAGTTCCCCCAGTGAAAAAGCTTTCCCCCTTAGGCACTTTCCATTGCTGTCCCCTTCCCCATCGTCCGATCAGTCTTCAAGAAGTGGTTTTTGGAACGGCTACTCTGATTGTAGGCTTCCTCTCGGCAGCATCCTTCTCATCCTGAGACGGCCTTGAAGCGTTGTCTCAGGGACCGTCACGTGGGCAACTTCCACTTTCCCTCCCCAAGCACTCCCTCTCACTGTAACTGCCGCCTCCTCCCCAGGATTCATGGCAGACTGGTACCAAATTTCAGGTCTGAAGTGGCAGTTCTGACATTATGGAGCTTGGGGGGGGGGTGCGCTCACAACTCTCTTACTCCAGTGAGTAGCACTGGAAGGTAGGAAGCCCAGAGATTGTCCTGCGTGATCAGAAGCGGCGCCTTTTCCTGGGCCCGAGGCCCTACTTACCCGTCGGATCCTTTCAGCTTACGGTGTATTGTAGCGATAATGCTGTGAATTCTCGTTTCGGCTCAGGCCCTCTTAGTCAATGTGGCGTAACAACAGCTGTGAACCCAGAGTAAGCTAAGTCATGTTGACCTCGTGCTGAAGCAATAGCAACGCTGTGATTTCAAGAGAATAAATATCCTTCTGTGGCCAGAACCGTCTCGTGATCCTTCTGTTGGGATGCTTGGAAAGTTGACTTTATGAAATTTCTCCTAGGGTTACGTCAGCCTTGGGAAATAGTCCACCCAACGGGCACACCCAGAAGGACTAACTTTAGTGTAAGGTGACGTTAACAGAATGTTGCAAGTCTGAAAATACATCTCTTCCCTTGCCTATACAGTCCCAAAAACTAGAGAGGGTCTCCTTGTGAGCTGTTTCCCAAGTCCCATTCTTTTGGGGGGACCGAGCTACCGTTTGATCAAATCCCCAAGGTGCTTTTCCAAAAGGCAACTGGATTTTCTTGTTTTTTGTCCTTCTCATCCAAAAAGAAGCTGAAGAAGCAGTTTCTTGAATGAAAAGCGAAATGTTTTCAGGAAAGCCCAGCTGCCTTTTCTAAAAACCCCTTTGGGACAACTTTGACCTGGGTTATTGAGAATCTCCCTAGCCATTTGCCTGATCAAGGTCATTCTGATGAGCCGAGGTGGCACAGCAGTTAGAGTGCAGTACTGCAGGCCACTTTAGCTGACTGTGTTCAGCAGGTCAGCGGTTCAAATCTCACCAGCTCAAGGTTGACGCAGCCTTCCATCCTTCCGGGGTAGGTAAAATGAGGACCCAGATTGTTGGGGGCAATGTAAATATATATATATATACATTGCTTACTGGTGTACACTGCTTAGAGAGTGCTTGCACTTAAAGCGGTATATAAGTCTCATAAATAAATAAATAAATTCTCACAAAGTTATCCAAGATGCTAGCTACCAAGATCTAAGGGGCTACCCACAAAAATGTGGGGGGTCAACCTATTCTCCAAAGCGCCAGAAGGCAGGACAAGAAGCCATGGATGGAAACTAATCAAGGAGAGAAGCAACCTGGAACTAAGGAGAAATTTCCTGGCTGTTAGAGCAATCAATCAGCTGTGAATGCTCCAACACTGGAGGTTTTTAAGAGGAGATTGGACAGCCATATGTCTGAAATGGCAGGAGGTTGGACTAGAAGACCTCCAAGGTCCCTTCCAACTCTGTCATTCTGTTTTTCTGTTACATCTTCCAGAAGTAAGTTCCATGCTACAAAGAATGGGATTGAAATCAAAACAAGCGGAAGCCCGGGTGGGAAAGCTGGATGAGCTCTGAAAAAAATAAAAGATTGGATCATCTTGAGCAGGGGTCTTCAAATTTGGGCCTTTTATGACTTATGGACTTCAACTCCCAGAATTCCTCAGCCAGGCATGCTGGATGAGGAATTCTGGGAGTTGAAGTCCACAAGTCAAGGGGTCTTCAAACTTGGCCCTTTTATGATTTATGGACTTCAACTCCCAGAATTCCTCAGCCAGCATATCTGGCTGAGGAATTCTGGGAGTTGAAGTCCACAAGTCCCAAAAGGGTCAAGTTTGAAGACTTCTGATCTTGGGTGATACGGGTACTTGGGTGACAGTTCCAGTGTTTGCAGAATTAAGGCCTTCCCTCTCTAATTTAAAGAGGTTAATAGATTGGGTCCCACTTCTTTCCTCCCAGAAGATTAGAAACTGCAACTTTGTGCAAAAGGGTGAATGTGGTCTGTGGCGTTAACATTTTTGAACTCTACATCTGTTTTCTAGCGATTCAGAAAAAAAAACCTGAAGCGAACTTTAATCCATTTGCAGAGACCATTTCTCATTCAAAACCATCTGGAAAAAAAACAAAGGTACATGTCCATTACACACCTAATATAGCTATCGCATGCCTCCAGAACAGTGCTTTTCAACGTTTGTGTGACGGCGACCCCCGTCACACAAACGTGCCGCGCATGCGCGGCGCCGCCCCCATGCGCAGCGCGGTGCCGCCCCCATGCGCAGCGCGGTGCCGCCCCCATGCGCGGCGCGCATGCACAGCCCCGCCCCCCGAGGGGGAAAAATGGTGGATCGCCTTGTTTGGCGACCCCCGAGAAGTGGTCGATCGACCCCAAATGGGGTCGCGACCCATAGGTTGAGAACCGCTGCTCCAGAATAATAGGGTGCATTTACCAGAAAGAAATACTATTTTGTTTTCTTCATAAATAAATACAGGTGGTCCTTGACTTACCAGCCCAAAGTTTCTGTTGCTAAGTGAGAAATTCATTAAGTGAGTTTTGCTCCATTTTACAACCTTTCTTGCCACAGCTGTTAAGTGAATCACTGCAGTTGTTAAGTTAGTAACACTGTTGTAAAGTGAATCTGGCTTCTCCATTGTCAGAAGATCGCAAAAGGGGATCGCGTGACCCCCCCGGGGACACTGCAACCGTCCTGAGTACATGTCAGTTGCCAAGTGTCCAAATTTTGATCACGTGACCACAGGGATGCTGGAAAGGTCGTAAGTGTAAAAAAAAAAAACCTGTCGTAAATCACTTTTTTCAGTGCTGTTTCCGGGAAGGGCAAGCTACTCCAAGATCAGGAGCCATATGATATTTCTCATGTCATAGTTTGAAAAAGTCACTAATATTACAGTCACATTTTTAAAAGAGAATTGCCTAGAGATGAAAGACTGGGCGCCGAGACGCTATCGTTTCAGCCCAAAGGAAATTAGATTATATTTAAAGCTTCCATTAGAAAACATTTAACAACATGGTTTAATTTCCGGCAGCAAATGTCAACAGCTTGAAAACTGAGCCATCAGCAGAGAGTTCTTCCGCTTGGCTGTTCCTTAAACTCATTAAATTCAAGAACATTTCCTATCTCCTAAGCAGGCTTTGTTTGAGCAGCATTATTTTCCCTTTCATCTCAGCTCTATTTGCCCAGAAAGGCAGAGCTAGGAGAAGACCCGGCCTCTGGCGCTGATGGCTTCCAATTTTTGTGCTGCTAGAGCAGTGGTTCTCAACCTGTGGGTCGGGACCCCATTTGGGGTCGAACGACCATTTCACGGGGGTCGCCAAACCACGCTGTCCGCCATTTTTTCCCCTTTTCCCTAGCTGTCCTACTCCCTCTTATTGGTGGCCACACCCACTTGGGGGTCACCACAACATGGGGAACTGTATTATGGGGTCACGGCATTAGAAAGGTTGAGAACCACTGTGCTAGAGACTAATGCTCAGGTTGTGACTTCAGTACAGCTCGGGGGGGGGGGTTCTCACAGCCTTTGGAAAATTTGGTGAGGATCCTGGTCATGTGGGAGGCTGCAACTGATGGTTTGGGGATCTGCATGTGATCCACATATAGTCAAGGCCATGGTT